CAAAAATCCCAGAACCACATGGGGGGACCTAGTGAATGACCTGCAGAGAGTTGGGACCAAAGTAACAAAGGCTACCCTTAGTAACACACTATGCTGCCAGGGACTCAAATCCTGCAGTGCCAGACATGTCCCCCTGCTTAAGCCAGTACATGTCTGGGCCCGTTTGAAGTTTGCTAGAGAGCATTTGGATGATCCAGAAGAGGATTGGGAGAACGTCATATGGTCAGATGAAACCAAAGTAGAACGTTTTGATAATGTCATTTGTGGATGTGGTAGATACAGTGGGGCAAAAAAGCATTTAGTCAGCCACCAATTGTGCAAGTTCTCCCACTTAAAAAGAATAATGTCATTTGTGGATGTGGTAGATACAGTGGGGCAAAAAAGCATTTAGTCAGCCACCAATTGTGCAAGTTCTCCCACTTAAAAAGAATAATGTCATTTGTGGATGTGGTAGATACAGTGGGGCAAAAAAGCATTTAGTCAGCCACCAATTGTGCAAGTTCTCCCACTTAAAAAGATCTTTTTAAGTGGGAGAACTTGCACAATTGGTGGCTGACTAAATACTTTTTTGCCCCACTGTATCTACCACATCCACAAATGACATTATTATAATTAGCCTCCCCCCAAAACTTGTAATCATTCAAAATGGCTATTTTTAAAAGCAAATAACCTCAATTGTGAGGAAGAGAAAGAGAGTGAATTTTGTTACTGAATGTGTTATGAAAGGTATACAAAACAGAACTATCTTATTTCATTAGAAAATACAACAAAAGTCATTTTTTTCAGTGAAGAGATTTTGCAATGAGAAAAGGAATCTGCACTTCAGTTATACAGATTCTCAATCAATCCACTCTGGGACAATCTCTGATATTATGGAATCCTCTGATTGTGCCTGTTTGTTCTTCATTATAGTATTAAAGAACTGGTAAACATAGATTCAAATCTGTTTTTGGGCTAATGTGAGAAGACACATGAAGGCCACATTGATATAACATTTTGGAAAGACTATGTACATGAACAGAAAGGAGCTCTCCATTGTGGGAAAACTTTTAAGTACCCACCTGCCTGCCATGGAATATCTGCCCATAACTGGCAGGTATCCTCCAATGTATTTACCTGAAACTAGTTTTGTCCTGAGCCCTGATTCAGAGAGTAATGCAAATGCAGTCATTCCCCAGAACCAAAAGTGCTTTATCAAACTGTTCAGAAACCACTAAATAACTGTAAGAACTTTATTTAGAAGAGATTAATACATTCTTTTTTATTATTGTATCAAATATGGGTATTAAAATTAATACCCAAATATGGGTATTAAAATTAAAACAGTTTAAAATTCATATTGGCTCAAATATTTTAAAATTGGATAGTTACCTTCATTCTAAAGCCCTTCTATCATTTAATTTGATGGACTAGCAACAACATTTTTACCACAAGAAAATATATTAAGGTGTAACAGTTTAAGAAAAGATGAAAGAATGGATATCAAATTTGGTAGAGACTGCCATCCAAGTATTGAATGGTTAAGTAGAGATGGGAAACTTATAGGTCTCCAGATTTTGTTAAATTCTAACTCTTCCCAGCCCCAGCCAGGGTAACAAGCACATTTTTTGTTTTAAGATTAAAATTGTCTTTATTTCTACTTTGTGAAATTAACTTAGTTGTATACAAATATTTTCTACTTGTTTAGTGAAATTTGTAAATATCACTAAAGGAATACTAGTTTGATTTAGCTCATTCCTACAACAAAAATCCAAGAAACAATGGAAGGTATTTTACTGCTGACATTCAACACTGATGTGGAAAAACAAACATGTATAAATTTTGCAGTGTATGTTGGAACAGCAATAACAGAAAACAGCTGCAATCTATATTATGAAGAAATGTATTCAACAGAATACAGTTTGGGGATAACATAGATCACTGAGAAATAGTTCTTTTTTTATCTTGTTTTACATTAATTGAAAAAGAAGTTGTAGATTTGTGCCAATTCCTTAGCTCCCAATCTTCAGAGCATCCCCTCGCAATGTTATAGTCTCCCAGTCTTCCTTAAGAAGCACCACCACTTTTCCTAGAACAGAAGCAAGGTTCTCAGCTTGGTATGGTTGGCTAGGCCTTCCTCACCTCACAGGCATAACCTCCCACAAAGCTGCGGCAGGTGCCCCCATTCCGACATAGGCTGTGCTGGCAGTGATTGACTTCACTCTCACAGTAGCTGCCAGTATAGCTTTTCTTGCAAATACAGTAGTGAGTATTGCCAGCATCCACACAACGGCCTCCATAATGACACACTTGTTCCTTGGCCACACCTATGCCGAGGAAAAGAGAATTACTCACTGTGTGCTCTCAACATATCCTCCATACCTTTTCCTAAAAGTACCAAACAGAGCCACCGAGAACAAAGAAAGTCAAGAAAACCAAAACAACTGTACAAAATCAAGATTGTGTTCCAAGCCTTTGAAAATAGCTGGAATTCCTTCCCTTCTAAATTCAATTTGCTGAGGAAGAACACACTTTCCTAGTGTTTCTGAAATTTGATTCTAATTCTTATTTCTCTTTAAAGGATATGTTTATAGTTCTCATTAGTATCATTTGGTGGAAATGGAATACATGTTTATCAGATAAAATAAATGAAATAGTTATGGGAGATTTAAAAAGTGATCATACAACTAGAACAAGGGCTTTCAAATGTTTTTAGGCTACACAATCTCTTAGTTAAAAATAATGATTTAGAAAAATTCTTGGAACCCCTGGCCAAGAGGCAAAGCTCTAGTGACAGAAGATTGGCTGTGTTTGAGTGATTTTTTTTTTTTTTGCCCTTAATCCTTCACAGAACCCAATCAAATTCTCAAGAAACCCCAGGGTTCCATGGAATATAGTTTGAAAAACACTGAACTAGGGGACCAACCAGATCATCATCTCTATTGTCAGTCTACTGACTACCAAGACATCTTCAGTACTGCTTTGTTGTTGTTGTTTAATTGTTAAGTCGTGTCCGACTCTTCGTGACCCCATGAACCATATTGCGCCAGGCCTTCCTGTCCTTCACTGCCTCCCTGAGTTGGCTCAGTTTCATGCTCATTGCTTCAGTGATGCTATCTAACC